ATTGCAACCTAGGCAGCTTTCTATTTTAAGCACTTGCAGGGGGACGATTTTATTTCACAACCTGATTGAACATCCTAAAAAAATTTTTGGGGATGCACCACTTACGTCCAGCTCCATTCCCCGCTGACGCCACTCCACCCACCCCCGCTATTATCAGCTGTCAAAGTGAAAGACAGTAATTACTTTGTACAAGAGCAGCCATCAAAAGGCAGTCACTCTTGTGACATTGGCAGTCTGCAAGTGTCATTGAGTAAATATAATGACTCAATGTATGGCTTCGTTGTATTTACTATTTCATTCATATATAGCTCAAGCGTGTGGCCGTTAATCTGCATATGACAACAGTAAGAAATCTTACATGTTGTTAATTTTTTTGATGTATTCCTATTTAACCCCTTAGTAACCCTTAGTTAACCCTAATTATCCCTAATTACCTCCTCCCTCCCCACAGCTATTGTTTTTCTGCTGATTTTTAAATCAATTTTAACCATTATTAGTATTTTTTTTTAGTTAGTTACTTTTTTTCAGTGTAGAAAAAAAAAGAAAAATGTGCAAAAAGCTTTCTTTTTTTTCATCTGCAAATAACTTTCCATTCTTTGTACCAGAAACATCATGTTAGTGTCATTTTAAATGGGAAAATTATATAATAAAATGTATTCTTTACAGTAAAACTACTTTAAAAAAAAACAAACTAACACAAATCAGACATTTTTTTTTAAACATCTTTTTGTCTAAAGGCCAGACGAAAGCCTAGTTCCTTCTCTCTCCCCCAAAAAAGTAAGAATTGACTGCTTTATTATCTTAATTGATGACAAAGTTATCACCAAACAGACAGGGTCATAGTGGAAATAAAAAAATTGCTCAGGTCCATTTGTGCAATGCATGTATTGGTGCTGGTCTGAGGTCTGTTGTGCAATGCATGTATTGGTGCTGGTCTGAGGTCTGTTGTGCAATGCATGTATTGGTGATGATCTGAGGTCTGTTGTGCAATGCATGTATTGGTGCTGGTCTGAGGTCTGTTGTGCAGTGCATGTATTGGTATATGTTTGTAAATCATACACACACAATATTTGTAAACCATACACACACAATATTTGTAAACCATGTACGTACAATGTCTGTAAACCATACACACACAATGTCTGTAAACCCTACACGCACAATATTTGTAAACCATACACACACAATGTTTGTAAACCCTACACGCACAATATTTGTACACCATACACGCACAATGTTTGGTAAACCATACACACAGAATGTTGGTAAACCATACACGCACAATGTCTGTACACCATACACGCACAATGTCTGTACACTATACACGCACAATGTTTGTACACCATACACACACAATGTTTGTAAACCATACACGCACAATGTTTGTACACCATACACGCACAATGTTTGTAAACGATACACACACAATGTTTGGTAAAACATTTATTTTTGTAAATGGAGAAACTGAAGACAACAGAAACCATGACAGCGAATCAGTAGACCATTTCCATTTAGTTTTGTTTACAAAAAGCACATATTACACAGTAAATGGTACCATGGCAGCACAACACTAAAAGAGGTTCGTCCAGAAATGGTCATTTATAAGAAACTGAACCTCTGGCGGTTAAAGTATCATTTGTGCAGCAGCACAAGGGACTCAGGGACTGACCTCAGCCCCACTCTCTGAATCACTGTATGTGTGTGCAGGGCATCAATCCGGTGCACTGTCAGAGGGTGTCACTGAAGAATAGGTCAGTATTGCAACCTAGGCAGCTTTCTATTTTAAGCACTTGCAGGGGGACGATTTTATTTCACAACCTGATTGAACATCCTAAAAAAATTTTTGGGGATGCACCACTTACGTCCAGCTCCATTCCCCGCTGACGCCACTCCACCCACCCCCGCTATTATCAGCTGTCAAAGTGAAAGACAGTAATTACTTTGTACAAGAGCAGCCATCAAAAGGCAGTCACTCTTGTGACATTGGCAGTCTGCAAGTGTCATTGAGTAAATATAATGACTCAATGTATGGCTTCGTTGTATTTACTATTTCATTCATATATAGCTCAAGCGTGTGGCCGTTAATCTGCATATGACAACAGTAAGAAATCTTACATGTTGTTAATTTTTTTGATGTATTCCTATTTAACCCCTTAGTAACCCTTAGTTAACCCTAATTATCCCTAATTACCTCCTCCCTCCCCACAGCTATTGTTTTTCTGCTGATTTTTAAATCAATTTTAACCATTATTAGTATTTTTTTTTAGTTAGTTACTTTTTTTCAGTGTAGAAAAAAAAAGAAAAATGTGCAAAAAGCTTTCTTTTTTTTCATCTGCAAATAACTTTCCATTCTTTGTACCAGAAACATCATGTTAGTGTCATTTTAAATGGGAAAATTATATAATAAAATGTATTCTTTACAGTAAAACTACTTTAAAAAAAAACAAACTAACACAAATCAGACATTTTTTTTTAAACATCTTTTTGTCTAAAGGCCAGACGAAAGCCTAGTTCCTTCTCTCTCCCCCAAAAAAGTAAGAATTGACTGCTTTATTATCTTAATTGATGACAAAGTTATCACCAAACAGACAGGGTCATAGTGGAAATAAAAAAATTGCTCAGGTCCATAAAGAGGCACAAGAGTTCAAGCGGTTAAAAAAAAATGATTGCCCGCAATTGGGTTTTAATGTCTGTGCATAATTTAGCATGATTGTTCGTTATATTCATGATTATTGAATTGCTTCTTCCAGCCTCTCACCATAGTCCTTAAAGCTCCATTTGTCTGTATGAATTAGCTTAGAATACTGCTCCTCCCATTGCTCCCAATGGTGATAATTCGAGTTGCAAAACAGCAGAGAACATATGTACCATGACCACAGTTAAAATAATTGCTAGATATCATATAGATATTTATTTATAAACAATTTTCAGAGCCATTCACACTGCAAATCTCTATGGTAGAGGTAAAAACAAACGTTCTTAATATATTTTATTTCAGGTCGCATGTAATGTGATGTAGTGTAATACTGGATTACTAGATGGAGCTGGGAAGCATAGGAAATAAATACCTGTTTCCTATGTTTATCAGCTCCATCTAGTGGCCACAATGCAGTATTACATTACATTACATTTGACCTGAAAAGAAAATATACTAAGAACGTTTGTTTTTGCTTCTATTCGCACAGAATGAATATTCGCAGAGATTCGCAGGGTGAATGGCTCTGCCAATTGTTTATAAATGAACCCCTCAGTACTATTTTGACAACACTATAAATATCTACATTTAAAAATCTACATTTGGCAGTGAGCTGAAGGACTAATTGCACTGAGGCACATGCGTTATGTCAGTAGTTAAAGAAGGCTCCTTGGCTATGCTTTACTGCAGGTCAGGCTTTCAGGTCCATATCATACTGTATATAGATTCCGAGTCCCAGTTCTAAAAAGGCCTAAGGAGTTCTGCTTTGTCTGCTAAACGCAGTCCATCCGTTCCTCAAACTCTTTTAGGAGATTCAGCAGATCATTTGTGCTACGCAGAGAGGAGGACAGTGAGTCAGAGATTTGCAGGTTGACCTCGCTGCTACGTAGTGATGAGGCTCCGGTGCTGTAACTCAGCTCATGCAGCATTTGCATTGATATTGGCGTAACCTAAAAAACAATGAACAGTAATTTGTAATCTCTCCTTTTAAAATCTTTTCCTCTTCATTGTTACTTTTCACCCGCCCGTTGGCCCTTAAAGCCGACCTTTACCTATAGCTTTAAAATAACAACAAACACGCCTTTAGAAATGTTTAGTATTGACAATCTACAAACACATACTTCTAGATAATGGCCGGCTTTGTATTTTTTGCATACCTTATTTCTCTTCTGACAGTGGCCATGTTTACTAAGGGCAGACTACTAGCGCTCCTTTTACTTCCATGATTTCTGGCACATGTGATTAGACATGTGGCTAGGACATGTGACCATGCATATCATCTCAGGGGAGGAAAATGTCTTTCCTTGGGATCTTGTGAGATTACAGATGACATTTCCCAGCAATGTTCTGCTGATGACAAGACAATCCCAGCCTGCATTGCGTCGGCAAACTGAAGTAATTAGCACTTTTAAAGTAGGAAGTGAATGCTCTGCAAGTGTAAGTATTCCAAAATCACAGCATTTTACACCTGACTTGTCTATGTTATTATTAATCATCATACATAGAGGGATACATTGGTAGAATTTGATTTTTGAGTGTAAAGGTCTACTTTAAAGGGTAAGTATACAGGTATTCCTCACTTAACGACCAAGTTCCGTTCCTACGACCAGGTCGTTAAATGGATTGGTCGTTAAGTGAGGAACTCTATACAGTACTGTACTGCATTAGTACAGTACTGTATAGTGTTGCCGATGTACAGTACCGAACAGTGTACTGTACATCGAGCAATGGAAATACTTACCGGGACCCGCAGTGAAGATCGGAGGACACCACTTCCGCCGGCGACGCGGCGCACTGACGCTGACGCGCAAGGTCGGAGGTCGATCGGCGGTCCGTCGTAAGTGCGAGTGGTCGCAAAACAGGTAAGTCGGTAAGCGAGGAACATCTGTATTGCATTTCTAGTGAGCTGTTACTTTTTTTGTTGCTGTGTCCCATTGGGGAGATTTCCCTTCACTTTCTGTTCTTGATGCAACAGCAAGTGAGAGGAAAGCTCTATAAATTGGAGTGAATTTTCCTTTTACACGGTTGTTATTGCAGTAAATGTCCCCATTACAAGATATGCAACTCTTGTTAAGGTGCACCCATCAAAAGATATATTGCTCTTGTTATGGTATCCCCATTAAAAGATATACAACTCTTGTTATAGTGACAACGCTAACATTTTGGATTTCCCATAACTTTCTGTTACTGTGGCAATGATCACCAGGACAAATAGAGAGGGTCCTAACCCTTCCACATTCCATTCAGACCTAAAGAAAAAAGTTTTGGTTACACATACACTGCATTCTTTTAAGTGAGGCTTGTATTGTTAGAAGGAGCATTAAATCACAACCATTGTGTAGCAGTCCAAAAGTAGAACCTGCATCTAAAATGAGCAAACAAGGCTACCCTCATGTACATATACAGTTTTAAACTATGACCAGAAATATTTTAAACATATACACAGAGTGATAAAATATTTACATCAATTTTAATCTTTTTACAAGTATATCTAAAAATAATTGAAATGCCTCTACAATGCCTTTAAGGAAACCGATCAGATTGTAAATGGTAACAATATGTTTGTTTATTTTTAAAAACATTATTTAAAAACATTATTTATATGTAGTTTTATTTATTTGCTTATGACATGCTTAGGCTCTCTGAAATTTTGCTGTCCCCTTTTTAACGTGCATTCCAAGCACATGTCAAACATAGGAAAACAACACCGGCCAATATGAGCCCTTATACCTGAAATATTTAACCCAGGGTTGATTTTCAACTCTGGGTATACGGTCTATCTTCGTTGAAGTGTATTTTCCTTTGAGTACCCCATAGTGAATAGTAATCCATGCCAACATGCCTCTAGACTCCTGATGTTGATGTATACTACACTGGTAGGAGGAATTTCAGACTTTTTTTGTTAGTTTAAATATAGTGGGGAAGGATTAGAACCATTCTCTGGTTTTACTGGTGACCGCATAGGAAAAGAAGTGAAATCTTTCGAATGGGACCACTCAGTTTTTTCTGGCTCTCTATCTAAAACAGAGTTACAGTATGAAATGTTATTTCAGAAGCAGCTTCAGCATTGACACAAATGTCTGATAACTTGCAGCAGAAAACGTCAAGGGTTCACAGCAGAAGGACTCACTTGCACCATAATGAACTTCTTCTTCCATGGTTTACTATCAGGCCACATTTCTCCTAGACAAATCCAGATGTCGTATTGTGGAGATTCTGTCCTCTTCTGTTCTATGAACTCAATCAGCTCTGAAGGGAAGAAAAGATGAGTAACTAGAAAAGTGATTTTTCCTAAATGATTGTAATGTGGAATTTTAGATATGTCATCATTAAGATGATCCATTCTGTCCAGTTTGGGCCTGATCAGATGATGTTTGCATGTCAATAGACACTATGTGACTGTAGCAGACACCCCGTGCCCAATGTATTCAATCCATAATTGATTAGCTGGGTTGAGTTTTCCTGACTGGTGGCCATTTCCCTGAGATAATGCCAACACTGGCTTTGTATAACGGAAGCAATGGAAACCTTTGGCCTGCGGAGGCAAACACAGCCAACTGGCTCATGTTAGTGACAAATTTCTGTGTGCCAAGGTGCTGCGTGGGTTAGTGGGTGTTCCTAAAAAAACTGGTTTATTGTCACACACCTTTTCACTGTGCCAGTATCAGCTTCCTTTGTGTAACCTAGTGATATAAGAGGTGCCTCTGCTATGCTGTGAATGCAGGTCTGAACAAGGCAGCCAAACTATAATGGCCACTATAAGTCACTGACTACGGACACCAGCTTGATCAAGGTCTGAATGGTGAAGTATCTCCACTCAGGTCCACCAGTCCAAAAATGTAATCTCAGTTCTGGCCAAGGGGGCAGTCCCCTCACCTCCAGCCCAATCCACCCCTGGTTTGTTTTTACAATGTATAAGCATGTATTCTTAGCTGAAGTGTTTATTTAGTATTCCTCAGACACAAACATTTGATCTTTCAACAACCAATCTATATTTCTTGGAAATATTAGTAGTGGCCTTTCCTCTGCAATCACCAATCAAACACCAACATATTAGACCAACAATATGCATGGAAAATATTCCATCATGTACCTTTCACAAACTGCTGAAACTTGTACAGCTCGGAGTAGGACTCTTTGCTTATTGGATTGGGCTGGTCCGTTGTTGGCGTTTCTGTCATACTCCAAAAACTCCTGCATTTCCCCTGTCTCTTGGCACAGATGGCTCCATTATGTACCTCCACCAGAGTTCCTTGTTCCAGATTCTCTAGAAGTTTGTTTATTTCAGCAGCTACTTTGAAGTCAGAGATTAAGGAAGGTGATGGCAGAGTCACTTCCTCTAAATAGCTTTCTGGGTTTGTTTGTTGCCTTGAAGTGAGGTGGAAGCCACAGGGGTTTCTCACCAAACTTTTCTTCACCAGAATTCCCCGGTAATAAATCTTTACTTCAAACTCTGTTTCTGTTAGAAAAGTAAATGTGGTTATTTTACTCTTTCATATAACACCATCATAATCCACAGTCCTTCACAGACTACACAGGCTGTACACATTAGCTCCCAATCAGTCTAATGTTCCTGAAGCTGGCTTCATGTCATTTAGGTTTTGAAGTGAAACGGAATGTACCTAAACAGTACCCCAAAAAAATTATCTTTTGCCTAGAACAGACAAATAGCAGTGCATTTCCTGATATGTGAGTGTGCCTAGGCACTTCTGAGCCCACAGACTCATACCTGTATCCTGACGAAGGAATTGTAAGCAAGTCAGTAATGGAAAAAAAGATCAGCTGCAGTGAACCTACCTCGTACAGGCAATACTGGTGGCTAGTCCTTTGTTGTCTGCAGGGCCGGATTTGCAACAAGGCCAACTGAGGCCCGGTCTCGGGGCAGCAGGGGTGTGCAATTCCTATCTCCCGATGCCCAGGGCATGCAGTTCTGGGCGCCGGGCGGGAAGTTGTTTTCTACATTTAGTCCTGCTTTGGCCAAGCAGGGCTATATGCACAGCAGGGAAGCCGCCGCTTGTTTTGTACAAGTGATCTCGGCAATGTCGCCAAGATCACTTGTATGTGGCCTGCATACAGGGGGTGCATTGAGGAACCTGGCCTTGGGGCAGCAGAGAGAGTAAATCCGGCACTGGTTGTCTGCTTGCCTTTTTGGGCACTCCTCCCACAGTATAGGTTCTCTTTAATACACATAGCAGGACACACACAGTGATCAGATGCGGGCTGACACAAATTCTCAATGTGTTTTTAATTCATGGGAGGAGCACTCCATAGAAACGCAGTGACTCCTTACTAATAGCATCCTTGGTGAAAATACAACCTAGAAGCAAATTATTGCCTTGCATTTCTATGCATACTATAGCATGGTTGTCAGGTTTCGGTTGTATTAGGATGACTTGAGCAGCCACTTGCACACAATGCAGCTTTGTGCTGCAGCAGGGATGCAAAAATACACAGAAGAATGCACATTTGCATTGGCTGCAGTCCTAGGAGTCACTAAATTGGCCTGATTTGTTTTTGGCTTTACATACACTTTAATATAGAGTTTGGATAAATGTTAGGCTTATGGAGTTCAATATTTTAGTAGTTAAGTGGGCAGAGTTATGGCTTGCAGGACAAGGGTCCTCGGTTCAAGTCCTGTCTGCACAGAGTTTGCATGTTCTCTCTGTGCTTTCTTGGGTTTCCTCCCACAATCCAAAGACATGCTGGTAGGTAACTTGGGCCTAGTTGGATATTTTATTGAGTGTGCCCACGATGACTGCCTCGCCATCTACCCCGCCATCTAACAACACAAAGTGATAGAGTTCCCAGGGAGAAAAGCGCTACAGAAATATTAATGAAAAAAAAAAAAGTTTGGTGTAGATTAATTCACTGTACTGGGGTCCTCAAGTTGTTTTCAGATCATGACACCCCTTCATATTTTATTGGATCTTGCATTAGGGTCGGTGGTTCCTCCCTCTGACGTAAAGGCACTGTAGGATACCGTAATGACATGTGAAGATCCAGCAAGAACTGCAGGGAGCCCAGGACAGTGACTTGGACAGCGGAAAAGGTGAAAGTTTGCTGCCCTTACACGTTACATGGGTTTTCATAATAATTTTCCGCGACAGGATCACTTCAAGCGCTAAGAGATATTTTAGTGCAGGGCATACTTTGTGTTTTATTTATATTTGTTCTTACCATTTGACAATGGTAAGAACAAATGTAACACCGTGTGGTCACATAACAAGCTGAAAGAGTAACAAAGCACAGGAAACGCTGAAAAAAGGGAACTGACTGAACTGAAAAAAAAAAAAAATTCAACTGAAAAAGAGGCCAGTTTAGGGTAAAATCAAGAATCCAGGCTACGCATGTCTACAAGCAACCCTCATACGACTTAGTTTAGATTTTTATTAAACCGCAACGTGTTAATCTGTCCTTGCCTTTAATCTCTGCCACCATATGTTCATTTTGTGCTCTTTTAGGAACATTTGGTAATTTTATTGTGTGTTCACTGACATCAATCTACTTTTACAGTCTGTCTACAGGAATCTGAAAAGACAAATCCATCGACCATTAGCACGGCTAACGGGCATTATGGCTTTATTTCTGCAGCATACATATAAGTAAATAATCTGCATATATCACAAGCAAGCAAACAGTGAAATTCCATCACGTATGTAGAAAAATATGAAGCGCATGCAGATTTAGAAGGATAAATGCACTTATCCCTTGGGGAGACAGAGCTATAGATGTCTATAGGGATTGACTGCACCGGTGCAGCCAGCGCAAAGAGGATTTTGCCAGAAGGATGTGATCATTGTGGTGGTCATGGCATGGCGGTAAGTATGCATTTAGGGTAGGGGAGGGTGGGATACTTTAGGAAGGGAAGCTGGGGCAAAGAGGATACATGCACTTTGTTTCACAATGCCTTTATCCTTTAACATGGTATATCTCAAGGATCCAAGATCCATTGCAAGGGATAATGATATCAGTGGCAGGCACAGTTCTGTATACTATATCAGCTGGTGACAGTTGAGTTGACAAGGCGATCATGAGTCAACAATTATTATAATAAACACCCCTAACCTATTCTCTTAAATGTCTGAGTCACTTGCATTGCAGAGTTCAGTCTTGTGAAGATTGTTTATTCAAACCATAGTGGGGGGAATTTATCAAAACTGCAGTAGACAAAATCTGGAGCAGATTTGCACTGCAGCCAATCAGCTTCTCTCTCCCATTTTTAAATCTTACCTGAGCAAACTGAAGAGAGATGCTGATTGGTTGCCATAGGCAACTGCTCCAGATTCTATTTGCTCCAGTTTTGATAATTTCCCCCCAATGTTTTTATGAATAAGTTATGTTAGCCCAAACTGTACTTCAAGCACATGATGGCTGTGGGATAATAATATCAATATCTTTTTTGTACTGATACGTCATTGATCCATGTACAGTATACAGTACATTTCTATGTATTTTTGGAATTTGATGTTGTCTTTTTCTTCTTAGTAATAAAAAATTATTGCAACCCAAAGATCCACAAAGCAGAGCCCTATCAACTATGTCACCATTTTAGCCCATGCAAAATTATATATTCATCTTTACAATAATAAAGGCATACCCATTTTCCATAAATACTTCACCTGAGCATCAGACAATCAGAATCAAGCACCTATTGACACACCAATACCAACTGAAGTGTGAATATTCAGCTTAGAAGTTGGTGCCACTCCATTCTACTTTACTCCATTCTACTCTAACCTATCCGACTCTACTTCCCTCCATAAAACTCCACTCCACCCTGGGTGCCTACTAACATTAACAAGCCATCTGTTAATACTTGCATTCATCCTGAAACATCACATTCACTCTTAAAAGACACTTGGATATCATGCTTACCAAATATATTGTTACGGAAAAACTGGTTGAGCAGGTCTTGTTGGACAGCAACCACCTGCTCTTGAGATGTACTCTGAACTTGTCCTGTAAAGCCAGGAAATGAGAATCACTCAAAGTGCAATCGATAAACAATGTTTTAAAATATCACATTTGAATGTTTTATATTTTTCTTTGTATTTACAATACTACTTAATTCTTAGATCTATGGTTTCTGCTTTGCATCTGTAGTACACAAAGCCACCCCACTGCTTAAAGGTTGCTGTATATTGGAACCTCCAATAAAGCAAGAATAAACTCTGTAAAGATCCACCCATACCTCTGATGTCTGTAAGAATGTTTGTTTTTTTTACTATATTAATGCTGCCAACACCCTGCTGTGTGTACAGAGTGAAGCAGAAGCTGTAGTAGATCCGGTTTGATTGTGCAGCAAAAAGCTTATACTTATAGACATCAGCAATGTAGCATTTGTAGAATTCTTTCCTGTCTTTGGGGAAATATGTGGACTGCCATTGCTAAACTCCTTCTGACCTGGAACTAGCATGAAACAAATGACAGCAAAGTAAAATCATAACTCTTGTTCTGCACACATGTCTGGGATTCTGATTGAAGCCAAAAGGCCAATATGAAACTCAAGCAATTAGCATTTCCAGAAGGATATCAGAATTGCATTCACAATAATAATCACATGACAGGTTTCCTTAAAGACTGCCACATTTCTGATAATCTTCTTTTATGGGAACACCAGATGCAGAGTGTGTGAACGGAGAGGCCCAGTATTCCCTGCCACACCCATTGTTGGCATCTGCTCTCCCTGGTCCCACCCAGAAGTCACGTGAAGGTCCCCACACACCTTGCGATAATCGTACGATAATCGCGGGAAATCCCACGATCGTACAATTATCGTAAGGTGTGTGGAAGCCGTGCGACCTCTACTACTGTAAGGTCGCACGACTTTTAACTTACGAACATGTTCGAAAACCCGCCGAGCATCGTACAATGTTCGGCGGGTGTGTAGCATGTTCATACGATAAAAGCCGGAGGGGCCGGTGTGCGCAAGCGCACACTGCCCGTTCGGCATTGCGGTCATCGGAAGCCTCAGGGCGGCGCGGCTTGCGATCATCGCAAGTACGATCTGCCTTCCAAGATAGGCAGATTGTACGTTTTTTTTAAGTACCTTACAACCATCGCAAGACAAAAGTCATGCGATGGTTGTAAGGTGTGTGCCCAGCCTGAGAAGCATGCTGACTCAAACTGCAACTGATTAATGTAAACCAAGTGGAATTTCTACATTTTAGCATTGCTTCTTTAATAGCATTGGCAGTTCAAAGGAGCCCAGTGAGGACCAAATGGTAAAGAACTTTTATTTATTTTGCCTGTCATATACTTAATGCATTAAAAATGAGCATGATTGGATACACATCTGCCTGCTGGCAGCCAGAAGATGTATAATGTGTTCATGGAATGCTCCATTGGCACCCCAGTTATCAGAGGTTGTGGGAGAGCTTAAACTCTTATTTAATAGGGAAAGGATGGATGCGGAACTAAACACTGAACTAAAAACGTCAACATTTTTCAGGCGCTGGCGATTCTTCGCCACTGCCACATATGAGAGCTCCCAATCGTCCCAAATAATGTCTCCCTTTATCTTAACGACCCGGTACTTAAAGGCTCAACTGTCTCACACACTAGGAGCTTTGGAAGTCACCTGAGCTGCTTTTACTACACTTAGGTCTCGTTCACACCTAGGCGCATTGCATATGCGCGTCTGTCGCGTGTTTTTTTTACCGCGATTCGCGGTAAAAAAGTCGCACGACCGTTGCGCGTTTAAGAAGGCTACTTGGCTGTATCCCAATGGAAACGCGCAACAAAACGGCCCAAAGTAGTACCTGTACCTTTTCAGGCGTGGGCCGTTTTGTAGCGCGTTAGGGACGGGCGGAAATACGCCAAGGTGGGAACGAGACCATTGAATACAATGGGATTTATATTTTTGAGCGTTTTGTAGAGCGTTCGTCGAGCGTAGAACACGCTACAAAGCGTTCAGGTGTGAACGAGGGCTTAATGATAGACCTGAAATGTAGGCAATCAGCAAGGCCATATGCCACTATTTACTACCATACTAAAACTGAGCATTTTATTGGGGCCTAATGTGAGTTTGATTTAGTATATACAGTATATAAGATATTCTCTTATCCTTATTGTCACTTCTGCTCATACTTCTGCTCATACTCGGGCTGATTGTTTGTCTCATGTTTGGAGACTATTTGACTATTTGCTCTGACAAACGAAAAAATTACCTTAATAAAAAAAATGATTAGAAATGAGCATGAAAGAAAACAATGCATGAACATCGAGACAGAGACGACAGAATATCTTTAAAGTGCATCTATAGCCAAACGTTTTTTTCATTTGTACTGGATAGAATGAGTAAAGGTTTGAACGACTACCAGGGATAATATCACTGGTACTTTTATAAGATAATATTTGAGTTTGCAAAGGCATTTTGTGCACATTTATATCCTTTGTGGCTATTAAGGAATATATTTTAATGATCGTATTTGTTCCCAGAGTTCAGCTTTAACGTTATGGGTGGCCAAAATGACTAATGGAGAGACTGGGAAGGTGGGTGGGGCAGGACAAGCTAAACCTTTAAGATCAAACATTGCATATAACTTCAGCTTTCTATATCTCCGGATGTGCTGATCAGTTTTTACATCATATCCTCGGTTTGAATTACTCAGGTGTGTGACAAAGTCCACAATCTCCTATGTAGAATTTATTTGATGCTGTATTTCTTACCGGTATTATCCTGGTAGGGTACATAGGGAGGAATATCAGGGCATACTGGGCTAGCTCCAGCTAAAAACACGTCTGGGGAGGAGATGTTATTGTACCAGTCCTGTGCCGATGCTGGCACCGAGCTTGGCAGATCTTCAGGAGCGAGATACAAGTCTAGGAAGGAGCAAGAAAATCAGTGAACCTTATTTGTGACATGCAGAGGAAAAATTTATTTCATATTGTCTGTGCTGCACTAGAGACACCAATCAAAAAGCCTTTCATTTGCTCACATAGTAAAAGTGGAATAATATCAGTTCCTATACAGCGCTACAAATCTGAGACGATTCAAAAAACTTCCATATATGAGAGCCACAGATACTATTCACAAAAAGTTACCAAATAGCAAATGTAATGATATAGTGATAGGATTTATTTCCCTGTGTTGTTGCTATGTTACAAAAAACAGCTTTATTATAGCTAAAGTTAAGAGAACTATGAGGTCATGGCTTTTCCCCATAGTTCTCCTTGGGAACGGCAGAGAGCTGTGACAGGATCGAGAGGTGAGCGAACGCCGGTATATGTTCACTCACCTTCCGATCTACTGAGCCGACCTGTGACAGTCTCAGTGAGAAGCACTCACCTCATAGTTCTCCTTTAAGGGAAAAATAAAGTAGCCAACCAGCAACTAACACAAGTCCATTGCCCTTCAACATTTGCCTTTAAAGTGACTCTGTCACCACAGGGTCACTTTTAACCAAGAGTTCACCTGTAAAAAAAAAACTTTTTATATATGAACCATTCTGGCAGCCCATGTATTAAAAAGCCACCGTTTCTCCGCTCCCCGCCGCTCCTCTTTTGGCCCCTGTTATGCTTCCTGCCGGCTCATAGGTCACTACAAGCAGGGCCGGTGCTTCCACTAGGAAAACTAGGCAGCCGCCTAGGGCATAGCCAGGGCCGTACCCTTTCGCTGAGGTAATGAGGCTGATATGCGACGGTCCATTGGGCCAGCAGGGGTTATTTTAGCAGGGGGCGGGGGGGTTGGGTGCTTGTTTTATGGTTATTTGTTGGTCTGTTACCCTCAGTAGGATTGGTTGGGGTGTGTGATGGGGGCTAGGGGAATGTGATTTTGGGGAAGGGTGTTTGGGGTGTGTGATGGGGGTATGTTGCAGCATTGGTAAATGGGCCGCTGTTGGGGTCAGTGGGTGATAGTGGCAGGGGGTACATTGTGGTCAGTGGGAGACAACAACGGTGGAGCGAGCAGCCACCTAATTAGAGAGCCGCCTCAGCTGCTTCCCGCCTGACTGGCCAACAGTACTGAGTGCAAAGGGGGTGCTTAGCACCAGGCACATGATGCTCTTAAAGAAGAACTAGGGTTAGGGCTTTTCTAATTGGAGGATCGGAGCGGGGAGGGGGGAATCCAGTCCCTCCCCTGTCACGGCTCTCTGCCGGCACAGGATCGAGAAGTGAACGAGCGCCGGTATATGTTCGCTCACTTCCCGATCTACTGAGCCGACCTGTATCACCCAGATAGCAAGGATAACTTGCCACAAACTTGTGTCAGGGTTAAATTGTAATTCTTGTTAACTTGCTGCACACATTCCTGGCAAGTTGTAGACTTGCAGAACACTCGCAGCACAAGTTCTAGTTGACACTTTTTGAATTTGTAGCAAATTTGCTGGGCAAGTCTTAGCAAGAGCTCTGCAAGCTCGCTGGTCTGGAGACTTGCAATGCAGACTTGCTGTAATTTTGGAACAAAATTGTGAAGCTTGGCAAGTCTGCAATAGTTTAGCAAGTCATTTTCAAACTTGCAGCTCAATTTCTTGCTATCTGGGCAGTTTTTACAGGTAACCTCTTTATTAAAGAAGAACTCTGGGCAAAAATGTTGCAAGGGTTAAGTGTTAGTTTTTCTCTAGGGGCTAAAAAAGTTATATTCACCCCAACCATGGAACCAGCTGGTTGCCACTCCAGTACCTGAACCCTGTCTCCTGTGCTGCAGCGATGGTATGTCCCTTGGCGTCTTCACATCCTTTACACTATGTCTATAACTTGATAACTCAAGGATCCCTAGCAGTGGCGTAACTAGTGACCTCAGGGCCCCGATGCAAGAATCCATGGAGGGCCCCCCCCCCACCCCCCCAAGAAGAAACAAATTAGATTTTTTTTTTTTAAAACAAAATTTAGACAAGGAAAAAAAAAAACCACTCTCCTCTTTCATGTCCCCAGCTCCCCATTATCTACCCCTTCATGTCCCCAGCTTTCCGCTCCCGGACCCCATGTCACCTTCCTTCATGCTTCCAGCTCCCTGTCTCCCCCTTCGTGTCCGCAGCAGCTCTATTCGGCACTGGCAGCAGTTCTGTGTGATGAGGGGGCGGGGTTTACACCGCTCCCACTCATTGGCTGCTGCCCGGCTGGATGATGCTTCACGCTGCGCCCGGAACAAGGTGAGGGGAGCAGCCTGAAGCATGTAGGGCCCAGGACAGGAGGAAGAGGTCCCGGGACTGACATTAGCGGTTACCGGGATAATAAATATCCTGGTAATCAGCGCTCACCAGGGGCCCCTTCCTCCTGTCCTGGGCCCCCTCCAAGTGGCGGAACTCCAGGGCCCGGCCGCGACCTCTGCGACCCTGGTAGTTCCGCCACTGATCCCTAGACTGCTGCAGTGGAGAGGGAGAGATGCTCTAAGGACTGGTCCAAGGATAGGGTGAGTATAACTTTCAATTCTTTAGCACCTAGACAAAAACGAGCACTAAACCCTTGCAGTGCCAGGGTAGCCCCACTGCATAAGTTAAGAACATTTTTGCCTGGAATTCTGCTTTAAAAGTAACCCTACTGTAACAGGTCACTTTAAAGGCCTATGTTGAACAGCTTTGGGCTTGTGTCAATGGCTTTGGTTTGAGACACTTAATTGACAAGTGCATTTGACCTGCAATTGATCTACTTCTGACCTGCATTTGACTTTCTTCAAGATGGTTTTGCATTCCCATAGACTTGTATGGGAGTGCAAAACCCATCTGACATGACGAAAATCTGTCCACACAGGCCTGAAGTGTATATTTAAACAGTACCCCAATCTTCGTACTAGTAATCCTCTGTGCACCAGCACTTAGACCGGAGGAGGATGTGGCAGCACTACAAGATCGTCAGACTTTTCCACATTTTGCAGTGCTGTGGATTTTTAAAAAATTGAGTTTTCTGACTGGAGGAGAGATCACAGAGATGACCTCATCAGTGGCTGTTGCTCCTTCAAAACCTGGTCACAGTTCTGACTATACTGTATTGCTTTGACTGCAGAGAAGAGTGGCAAATGATCAGGACCTTGTATAGTGTCCTGAATAGAAAACAGACAATAACAATAAAGTTACCGTCTTCGTTGTTAGAAATCCGCATCTGGTTTATGTCCTGTGAAAGATTTCTGTCCTGTAAAAACACACACAGATTAACATCAGGATCAAAGGTACACAACTGTGTCATCACATATTGCTCTACCTTGTTTTTACACTAGATATAAGCCCTCACTGAATGATTGTTAGCACTGTGTATCATGTGATATCAATGTTTCATTCTGTTCATTTATATTTTTTACTTTTTTCATACTTTGTTGCATATCTACCCTGCTGATCTACTGCAGCCTCTTTGCAGCCACATCCTGTCTACATGCATGAACTCCAGCAACTGCTACATGTAATTTTTCAGGCCAGGTTTCCTGATGGTGACATCATTGGAACAAGCCTGTGCAATGTGTGCCTGAACGTCCACCGGTAGAGTGTGTGACAGAGTGACAACATGGGGGAGCAGTTGGGAGAACTGGGCTGGGCGTCACTATAATGGAAGTGATCATATGATTATAGCAGACAGAACCTCAGACTCAACGAACTGTACAAAGAACATAACTAGAATGCATGTGACTTTTTCCAGAGTAGGAGCAAGTTAGAGCAGAGGTAGGCAACCTCGGTTGTGGAACTACAAGTCCCATGATGCATTGCAGGACTCTGAAAGCCACAGGCATGACTCCCAGGAGCAGAGGGATGAAAGGATTTGTAGTTGCACCACAGCTGGAGTGCCGAGGTTGCCTACCTACAACGAACTTTGCTAAACTCCTTGCAATTATTACAAGTGGATGTAAACTGTCTGACTGTAATTCTTTTTCTCCCCTTTGTGAATCATACACCTCATACAGCCAGGGGTGTGACCCCACTTTCTCTGTTAGAGCTAAAGGTTACAGTGGTGTCACAGCTGCCTGCAGCCTGCTGATTGAACAATGAAGGAGTAGCCACATATTGATTGTATCAGTAGCACTGCTGACACTTTGTCCTGCGAGGCTCCAAAACGTTGCATTTACGTCATGTTAAAGGAATACGAATAAAGATGACATTCCAAAGCAGAATGGTGTGCGGACAACACATCTTCTGCATTGTATACTGTGGCGCCATCCACCATTTGTTCCAGAAGCCAGTGGATTCTGGGATATAATGGTACAATGTGCAAAGGAGCTATTACGCAGACAAGTAGTACTGCTCAGTCTGCTTTTTCTCCTCCTGTCAGCAAGTTCCCTGTAAGCGAATAAGCATGCAGCAGAACCTGATTGGCTCCTTGTGTTGCTGTTCCAATCTGAGTGCTGCTGTGCAGGGATGGCAGAGGCTGATACCTATCTATATGATAGACAGGTTTAGATACTAATGCTAGTTGTATGTAAGAATGAATGTAATTGTCTTCACAGGAACACACAACTGTAATAAATTGTGTTTTTATATATGCTTGGAGTTCAGCTGTAACACATCAATGAGTAAGAGGAACAAAAAGACTTCATTGCTAATGTGTATCTACTAACCACAGTGGGCTGGCTCCTTGGGCTATTGAATGGAGGTAGTTGAGAAGATGGACTGATACTGTCACCGCAATACAAATCTTCAGGCGTGATATCACCTGTGACAGAACATTGGTAACATTATTGTCGCTGTTTTATTCTATTTACATTTATTATACAATACAGTTTGTGCTTCATTTATAAAAGTCTGAATATAGGAATTCCCTATACTTTTCAGCACCATCTAGGGGTGCTAGTGCCATGCAACCTGTTGTAAAATAAGTCCATATTTAGTAGAAGGATAGAAGTTATTTTATTAGGATATACAGTAATTACACAAAAATTATATATAAGGAGTAGGGAAAAGCAGTAAAAATAGATTAGCCCAACTCCATTTTTTTTTTTTTTAATGTCCACCTGGAAGTGAAAAAAAAGACAGCTCTGGCTTCAATACTCACATTCAATCCTGAGCTGTCACCCACAGTAGCCCTTTCTTAGCCACAAGATGTCCTCGTTCTTCCTGGTTGAATCATGCCCAGTAGCCCAGTCACCTAACCCAGAAGACTGAGGAAATACTGAGTGCAGGATGTCATGTCTTCCCACACTGACCATGGAACCCTGCATTCAAGGTGTACAGCTAGCCTGGTCATTATGTCAGTGCTGCTTGTCTGCATCATCCAAGACTGCCCACTGTTTGGAGAACTGGCTGCCAAACCAGCTTCTGATGAACCTGAAATATTCCCTTTACAACTCTATACCACTTTCAAGCTGCAGGGATTGTAGTCCACATACATGATTTCTCTTATTAAGACCTGATGGGAAGGTGGGTTTTGGACTCTACTTGAATGTCCCGCTGACCCTAATGGAATAAAGTTGTACCTGGACTGTTTTATTTGGTGTGGTGCTTCAAATTCGATATCTACTTTGTCCATTCTCACTTAAAACTGGCTACTCTACTTGAATGTCCCCCTGACCCTAATGGAATAAAGTTGTTTCTGGACTTTTTTCATTGGTTTGGCACTGCAGTTTCTACATCTGCTCACTGTCTTTCCAAGGATACTGTTGAGATTTTTTGGCTTGTAAAAGCTGCCTATCCATTACCCAGATCACACATATTCACATAACTTAACTACTATTGGATGAGAAACACCAACAGAACAACCACATGGGTCCAGCACTTTCCAATCATTCAATAATGGGAGAAGACTGAGAAGGAAGAGGACCCAGCTTGTCAATTGACTGGCCAGAAGACTCAGGAAAAGGTCAGGATAATAAACCCATGCTGCTGGTAGGGGGCCTCAAGGGGAGAAAGGGGTCCTCTGGGAGCATTGGGCTTTAAAGTATATGTCAACCATAACTGAATGATATTTGGTTTGCTCAACATGAAATTCCATTTACAAAAATACATTTCTTCTTATAGTTACAGTAGGAAGCAGGTTTTATGGATATGTTCCAGCTATACTCACCAGTGGATATGTTCCCTCTGTTGAACTCATAGATTTTATGTGGGTTGTTAGAATCTGAGCTTTTATCCTGGACCACACGGATCTCACTTTTTCGGTTAAGAGCAGAGCGAAAATTCCTTTTCCATACCGCTGGGTTAGCTACATCTTTCTCGGGGTCATAACTACCACTGGCAATTGCCCACGCCTAGGGAACAAGGAGATAAAAGTGAAAATATGGTACATAGTCCAGTAGTAATGATTTATTGAGGCACAGGTCCTCTAGTGACATTTATATATCAAAAAAGATGTGGCATAAATAAGGAGGGGGGAGGTTTTTACGAAATGGATCATAGTAAAGTGCCTGTGGTGCCTTTAACAATTAGATTTTAGCTGTGACATTCCAATTTTTTCCAGTGCAGGCCAACCAAATGTTTACATTTGGAAAAGCCGTGTGTGCACCCTCAAGTGGAGGCCGGAGTCAGCCCCTTACTTCTCATTTGTCTTCAATACTCCAACAATAAGATCTCGCTGTTAACAAGATAAGGATTATTACACCACTTAAAACCTCAATCCCAATTCCAAAAAGCTCTTGGAACTCCAGGTGCGGACCATATAAGCCTGTCTCTGCTCTGTAAGTGCTCCACAAGAACAACAATCACATCTCCAGTTCAACACTCAGAGTAAACATTATTAAGTCCATATGAGTCCATGTTGCAGCCCCCGCCTAAATAATGCCCCTCTAACACATTTCATCTTTCAAGCCTTAGTTGTAGAGAGTATCTACGACTAAGCCTTGACCGGTGAAAAAACTTTAGTCCATGAAGCAGTCCTCCCCTAAGCACTACCTCTCTAAACCATCTTGACAGGTGAAATGTGTTAGTCCATGTAGCTGTCCTCCCCTAAGCACTGCCTCTCTAAACCACCTTGACAGGTGAAATGTGTTAGTCCATGAAGCAGTCCTCCCCTAAGCACTGCCTCTCTAAACCACCTTGACAGGTGAAATGTGTTAGTCCATGTAGCAGTCTTCCCCTAAGCACCTCCCCAATAATGCATTTCACCTGTTAAGGCTTAGTGATAGAGAGTCTCTACTCTTCATGACTTTCATTGTACGACATATGATTTGCACACATGAAATGCCACTGCAACAGTTTTCCTTCCCTGGGTTTTTATGCACCTATTATCTATCTTCTTATCATCATCCTAGACCTTGGACTAGAGTCCCCAAGCATCAAAAGTGACCACATCTATTTATGTGGAGACAGTCATATTCTCCACGCTCCTAATTCAGGTTGCAGCTACCGGCCACATGATCACTAGCAACCTCCTCATGTATGTCTAGCCTTATTGAAATCTTCATTGACTACCGCATCACATACAATATATAACTACTAAACTAGAAGGGCTCTCCTGTTTTCTCCCCTTTATTTTGCATTTGTGAATGTTGCCGAGCCTATTTTTCTATCAGGAACACAACTTTCACAAAATATGTCCATCATTGGGAACAAGAATAAGGGCCTGTTTTGATGAGCTTTTGTACACATCAGAACTGCTTCCCTTCCCATTCAAATCTTTGGGAATGCAAAATCAGCATGAAGCAGATGAAATGCAGGCCAGATCAAGGTCTTTCCAAATCAAACTGATGTCAAAAGCAGGCTGCATTCGCCCATTGACACAAGCCCAAGCCTGTCAACAAGGGCCCTAAGATTTATGTTTGCATTGGTGTTCAGTGGGCCTTTACATGATACATACTTTGTATCTTTATATCTCACCAATGGAGTCTCTGAGCGAAAAAGAACTTGTCAGGTTATTTAACTCTTCAGCATTTACCATTCACTAAAATATTTTTTGTGACGTGAACCTCTGTGATGTTGACTCGGCCTAGCAGCCAATCTCTAAGCCTGCCTGCTGAGCCTGTAACTACTCCCCCGAGTTGCTGACACAGCCAATCTCAGAGGACAAGGAGCTGTGAAGGAAGTTAAGTAGTATAAGGGGGTGGGGGGAAGCCCTTTCAGAGACCATGTCACCGTTCTCTTCATAGAAATTTTTTGGGCATTTATTCAACTTTCTCATTGATTGGGTTATCAGCTAGGAGCCCAACAATATTGCAATATTGTTGTTTTCATCGATGCAAAGCTGGCACTCTACTAATTGTTCATGGGTACACACATGTCGGACACTTATAGTATAAATATTGACACAAGGTTTTTTTTTAGCTTTGCCAAAGCTCAAAAAATGCTGTGAAACATATTGTAACGTTTAGGGTATTTAAGGATCCTTAGCCAGCCGTATCAGCAAATAAAACTTTATTTTCTTCCAAACAGCACAATTTAAATTGCTTCTTTTCAGCAAACAAACATAAACAGCATGTATCTTCCAGCAACATCCAAGATTTGGCTCAGCACCGGTATCTTCTCCTACCTCAGGGTTAGAGCCTCAGCCTGCTCATGGCCAGACACCCAGCAGCTTTACACATCTCTGTGTGATGATGGTCCTCCTGGCCTTTCCAAACACACCTCGTGTGCCACAGACCCTCCTGGACTCGCCCACACACCACGTATGCCACAGCCCCTCTCGGCCTCTCCAGCCGGACTCCAGCTCAGTGTCTTGTGCAACACATACACACAGTCTTCCACGCTCTGTATGTACTCCTGCACCACTGACTGCTTCTTCCTCCCTGTCCACTCTCTTGATAATAATCCAACTGGACAGTCTGGCCTGGCAATTGGCTGCACCTGGTCCCAGGACGGGCGGCATGGGGCTGTGGCCGCGAGACAGAGCTCCATACATACATGCATTGCTTACAGCTCCCTCACGTGCCCTGTAGAAATGCCTGGACTGGAGTGACATCACATTTAAGCTCCCGGCACCACTGTGGGACACAAGGGTGCTGTACAAGCAATGCACATATAGATGGAGCTCTGTCACAGCACAGCAGCCCACACTGGACCCCAGGTTGAGGATCCACTCCAGTTCTCGTATGATAGGGAGACTGGGTAGATCTTAAAAAAAGAACAAAAATTAAACATTTTTTGGGAGTGTGAATGTGTGTGCAAAATTGTGTCTCTGGTTGTGTGTGTCTGTCAGTGTTTTTGAGGGCCCGTTCACACTAGTACAGCACCTTACCACGCAATCGCTCCTACCATACAGTCTGGTGTGGGAGGTGTGTTGCATTGCCATTCATTTGAATGGCACCCCAAACGCACCCTCTACCAACAGATACCGCGTGTTCCATTGTGGTGAGACTTGGGTGACGACTTAATGACAAAGAACAAGTATGTGCGGTTACACAGGTTGAGAACCACTGGTTCAGAGGATAGACGGGTGCGTAGATACAATATGACTGCTTTTAGTATTGCCTACTGGCTGCCTATATAACCATCTATGCTAGGCTCAGCTAAGAATATACATTGTTTTATGGAGACAGGAGGGGGAGCTTGAAGTTGCCTGTGACTATTTCAACACTGATGGTCACTGTTTGTATTGGCTTTGGATGTCTAGCATCTTTTTTGTTCCTGCCAGACAAATACTGGCACTTAATCTTGCTGTTTTCATAAATCTTTGACTAACTGTAGTAGCAATTTTGTAGTACACTTCTAATGTTATGTAAAGCTAATTAGATAAGATGTTGGTTTATTCTAAAAAATTTCCAGCAGCCCTGTAGTTCTAAGGTAGGAAGACAATTAAAATGTTGGTGGTGACAAACACAGACATGGACAGTTATTCTATGACATCATCTACATCAGTTTTTCTCAAACCTTTTATGTTATTTACCCTGTGATAACAACAGCACCCCCACCTCCTGTAAGGCAGGAAACAAGTAGCTTACCTCAAATATTTTCACATCGTCCTCTGATCTATCCTGTCTCAGGCCATGTTTCCATGGTATCTGGAACAGTGTCCGCTCCGGGTTGGTCCATTTGAGACCTGGATACTTCTGGCTGGTGATCTGCTGCTCCAGCCAAGGAATAATTCGTGGCTTTAGATAGCTCATCCTCACAGACTGTGCGGTGCTTTCCTGTAAGAGGAACCAGATCATAAGAGACTTGTCATAGTAGGCCATATTTTTTTTACATTCATACAAATCTTAAAAGGGTAGTCAGGTAGAAATTAAAATCCTCAGATGATCCAAAATGTTCCATTTCCCTCATGGGTCTTTGGATTCCCCTATAACAGGGAACATAGTCTCAAAATGTACCTGCAGTTTTGGATAAAGAGGGTACTGGTGAGACCCAGTGTCAAGTTTTTTTTGTTGTTGTCCCCCCCGAGTGACCATTGTCACCATGACAGAAAGTAATGGGAAATACAAAATTTGTTGTCATTAGAGCAAGTAGGGAGTAGAAATCTTCCAATGTTGACACATTTTCTGATGACAACTGTCCTCACTTTGGGGAGGTTTCCTCTAATTTCCTGTTGTATCTCTAGGAGGGGAAGTAAAGGAAAATCTCCCCTGTGGGCCACAGAGAGCAAACCAATAATCTGATAGGGTTTTAGCATCTCAAACTAAAAAAAGAAAGTGTTGGCTATACATAGACTTGAGTACTTTGGCAATCTGAGCAGGCCTGGCTATGCCTACAGCTGGACGGAAATGCACCTTCACGCACGTAGATCCTGCCTGCACATTCTGCCGTCCTTTGATATCTATGGACAGATTTAGTCTGTTAAACCGGCCATAGATTTTCATACGAACATTCATACGAAAACTCTCATCAGAACATTTCATAATCCCACCAGATACTTGACAAATGTTGTTTGAACATTCGACCTTAGAATGAATGGAGTTCCCTAAATGAAAACCACATTCACTGATTTTGTTAATTCAAGTAACATTTTCCATCCTGCTCCTTTGATCTTTTTCATCACTGCAGTGGATTTGAACCTATTATCTCTTAGACAGACGAATGGATGATCCACAAAAAACGACTCCAGGCGTGTACATGTCCCGAATGAAGGTTGTTCTATATCTTGTCTAGTTAATATGGAATGTGTAAACTGATCTGAAGCTCAAGACTTAACAAACCCTATGTGGTGTTCTAGTTGTTACAATAACAGATACAAATGAATGAAGTTGCTTTGTAACATGCTGTGTTGTGATCACGGTAATTTCTCCTAAAAGGCATAATTGCTTACGATACTCAGATCAATGTTTCCCTAATGGAAAATATTTATGATTTTATAACAAAAAGTCTTACCTTGAAAGCCTAGCGTAGAGTGCAGACGTTAGCTTCAGCTCTCAGAGCTGGTTATAGTTTCAGTTTCAATTACTGTGAATTCCTTCCTCTTTAGGCCGCCCCTGTGACAGCACAGCTTCAATGTGGTTGGCTGAACGCAATGATCTCACTGTGGATTTCCCTGAGATGCGTGTAAATGAAAAGAAATCTGTGTATTGCTTCTGAGTTTAGCTTGTCATGCATTTTCGATTCATCAGCAATTCAGCCTTTTGAATTATTGTGTAGCAGTCTTTATAATAATCCTGAATAATAATAATAATATTATCTAACAGTAAAGTAAAAAGTGACTGTGGATACATTTTTGCCACACATCTCAAGTTGATATCAGCATAACCTTGAACTGATCTCAGCTACATTTTTCTGCATTTGCCTTGTTTCTGGGTTTTAAGCCTTTCACCGCTTCGCTGCTGGACCCATTTTTTTACATTTTACACAGACAAGTTAAAATGTGAATTTTTACATAAAAATACATTTTAAACCCTAAAATATTAGGAGCAGTAAGGCAGATCATGCAACAGATTTGAATGCAAGATTACAGCATGAGTCATAAATTCCTCTTATGGCTGCACTAATGTCACGCAGGCATGTGCTTTGTCTGTTTATATTCATCTTGCTACCTTATATATTCACTTCCCAAGTCAGCATCTCATTTTAACTAATAAAACCCTTCTTCCGAAGAAACTAAGGTGCCTAAGAGCACTGAAAATGGGCTCAATTAAAGCATTTTAGCAGCCCCGAAAAAGCTTTGAAAAGCAGTGAAACTTATAGGGTTAATTTGTTGGGACTAAGGGTACCCATATACTGCAAATTTCATCCGGTTCTTGAGGAACTGTCGGCACCCTTTCGGCCGGCATCCCTTGATCAGCTAAGGAGCCAGCTGCAAAATCTTTGTACGGCCAGAGCCGACAGCCAATGAACTGCTGCCTCTGGTCGGGTATACTGACAGCAGCCGGTTGCCGCTGTCAGAATACGATGCAAACAGGGAGATTTCTCGATCGACACACTCGTAGTGTTGAATGAGGAATCGGGTCTATTTTTTTCATTAAGCCCGCAGGTTAAACAAAAAAAATAGAGCTGTGTATGGCCAGCCTAAGGGTCATTTTGTGTGACTTAAGAAGAAAAAACTGAAAGCCTATTTCACAAAAATCCATCCTTTTGCAGTGGGTTACCTCTGCACTGCAAGGGATTATTGCTCATCTTTCTCTAGCGGGTTCCTTTGAAGCAGTTTCACGTACCTGATCCACGATGGCTGAAAGATTGGTGCCGGCAGCCTCATCCCTCCTGCGCTCAGGCGGTCAGAGGGAGGCCCACTAACCTCATCACGCCTAATGCAGAGCCCATAGCTTCACATTAGATGGGAGAGATAGCCCACAGCTGGAGCAGGGAAAGGTGAGTGCCAACATCCGGGGGAGCCGGGTTTAGGTAAATAAATCTGTTTTAATGTGTTCTCTAGGCAAAAAATACTGTAGTTAATCCTGCAAGGGTGTTTTTTTTTGGTTTGTTTAGGTTGTAGGCTTCAGTTAATAATATCAATATAGTTCAATAGCAGAAAGATCATTAACAGCCTTGAGTTTGTATTCATCCTGTCATATACATATCCTCATACGGGGGATTTCCCCTCACGCCTTCTTTTGTCTGGAAGTTGAAGAAAGGTCTGGGACACTGGATGTCTTAAAGAAGTGGGGTTTCTCATTCAGGTCTTGGGCAGTACACAGGCAATGAATCCCCATAGGCAACTATCCCAGGAGTGGTGGCCAAAGATAAAGAGGGACCCTGTATGTAAAGGTTCCTCAGTAAAGTTACACGGAGCAGACTTGAGTCTCCTGGTAGGACTTTCTGTTTAAAGGAGAACTATAGGGTTAAGGCTGTTCCCCATAGTTCTCCTTAGAGTAACGGGAGGACACAAACTAGCATCCTCCCGTCACGGTAGGCTCAGTATACCGCAAGCTGTAGCTCGCGGTATACTGAGACGCCGCAGTATACCGCAAGCAGCTGAAGCGGATCCCGACAATTATGCCGGAATCCGCCCAGCTGCATGACTGACAGCTGAATCTGCCTATCTAGAAGCAGAGCCAGCTGTACCCGTCCCCTCCCCCGTCCGTTCCGCCAGTCAGCGCTGGCGGATCGGAGCGGGGGGAATCCAGCCCCTCCCCTGTCACGGCAGAGAGCCGTGGCAGGATCGAGAGGTGAGCGAACGCCGGTATGTGTTCGCTCACCTCCCGATCTACTGACCCGACCTGTGACAGTCTCATTGTCACAGGTCGGCCAGAACTATGAGGTGAGTGAAAGGCACTCACCTCATAGTTCTCCTTTAAGGTTTCCCGGGATTCGATCGTGCTGTCAGCTTCAGCCAAGTACTTGGGAATAAAGAGTCACACCAAGTTGTGTATTCACTCTTTATTCAAAGGTTTATTGTAAAACAAGGAATACATATACGAAATTAAGAAATGGATAGCGGAGCATAAACCAATAAAAATCATGCACGTATATATAAATTAATAAATGCAGTTTTACTCGTTCAAAATATTAACTATATACAAACCAAGAATAAGAGAATAAGATTTTTTCTATCACTGTACGCTCCAAAACATGCTGGATTTTTGTGATATAAAGGTCTGATTCAAATTTAATTTGGACTTTATAAGTTGGCACTTTTTACTTCTTGCACATCCAGTCTTTTATTCTGTCTGACACCTGTAAAACAGACAGGAATTTTGGAGATTTTTTTTCCACTTCCTGTTCTATCTAAAACTTAGTCTCCCAATTTGGGACACAAGCACCAATAAAAATTTAACGGAAGGACTTTCCAGGACTAAAGACAATATTTTACCTGGGGTAAGGTTTTAACTAGTTGATGTACCTAATAAAGTGGACATTGTCTGTATTTTTAATATGGAAAGGAATGAATATGTGGAAGATGTTAGTCACTCTCTAATTTGTTAGATAATATATTAATCCGAACTATGAGAAGGTTCGTTAAATGGAAAACCCCAAATTCCAAACATTCCAGATAAATTATAACACCCGCACCACTAGCTGGCTGTTTAAAATGATTAAATAAAGTGCGCTGGTACAACCTCAATGTGATTTCCAGCAGTAATTATAAAACCTCTGTCAATGGCAGACTAGTGTCCCCTCTTCAGGGCTGAGCAAAAGCAAAACTTTTGAGTCCAACTCTTCCTAAATATTCAAGCGTATTTATTTCTGAATGGTCGTACAGCCGTAGCACTCACCTGTGAAGGACCTAGCACTCACCTGTGAAGGACCTACTGTATTTATAAGAGTTTACCTGCCTTCCTAATGGTTAGCCCATCCTGTAGCTGCACCAAACAACTCACTAATGGCAACAGACTAAAGTACCTCCAATCCTCTATTTGCAATTTTTATTGGCTTCATTGTCTTGGGGAGAGAGGTTCGGCGGTACAGGTTCCTCCAAAACAGCATGAAGATCCCTCTGTACAGCAAACTTCTCTATGAATTCTTAAGGTACACATGTGCAACTACCCTTCAGTTTCTTAGGCCTCTGCCATAGGCCAGCTTAGATTCTTTGGGTCCAGAGTAGTTCCAGATACGTTTTGTGTTACACCCTGGATATGGGGGTAACACAAAACATGGTCAAAAAGGTAAACTTTCAGGTCTATTCACAAAAGGGTGAAAAGTTTGGAGAAGGCAGGAGAAGTGAACAATCTAGGACAACATAGTTGATTTAGAAAAATTCTCCAATTCAGCTCACTTTCCAGTTCAGCTTTGTTGTCCTAGATTGTTCCCTTCTCCTGGCCTTCTCCAAACTCTTCACCCTTTTGTGAATAACCCTGTTAGCCTTTAAGTATTAACCTGCTTGTTTTCCCTAGTATTGTTGTGATTTTTTCAACCCCAGACAGACTCGCTTTAAACCTTTTTATTAGGGATGCATAATGCCGAAAGTGCCATTTTCATGCCGATACATCGGCGCATCCCTCTTTTCTTTCCTCCCCGCTGCACGCTTCTGTGTCCCAGCGGGGAGGAGAGAAACTGTGATAGCCGGCCGAGCGCTGCGGGAGGAGAGCGCTGTGAGCGGCCGGCGTCTTCTCCCACACCGCTCAGCCTCCTATCACTATCCGGCAGAGCGGTGCGTGAGCGGAGACAGACCGCGCTGTCACAGGAGGCTGAGCTCTCCTTCCTGCACTTCCTCCTGTAACAGCCTGCCAGAGAAGAGAGCGAGAGCAAACACTCAGAGATCAGTGATCGCTGAGTGTTTGTAGATAATTGAGGATACGGTATGGTTACTATATCCTCAATTATGAATGAATGGGAGAGATCTGCATTACCTCCTGTTCAATTATAATTGTAGTTATAGTAAGCATACACTTTCCCTTATGTTATCAATGATCAGGAACACTCAGTATAGAGGATTCCTGTTCATTTATAACAGAGGTTGCAGAAAAAATGAGTCCTGCACTCTACATACTATGTTGTACAGTACATACACCTGACTCCTGCCACGTTGTAAATTGCATAGTCCTAAACCTTGCACTGTATACATATGTTGTACAATACAGTACACTGTGGTGTACTGTTTGTTACACAGTGACCACTGCACTCTGCATGCTATGTAGCTGTACTTTTTATCAAACGAAAAGAAAAACCTGGTGCTTTCACTGCTTAAAAAGTATTAGCTGGAATGAGCAGCGTTGTCACCCAGTACCAGGAAGTGGAAAATCAATGGGTCTACTGGCAGGATCATCAGGTAATAAAACGATATTATAGGCTGGTTTGAAAATTATGTTGTAAAATGACACTATACTCTGGAGTTAAATCTTAAAAATGCATTCAAGCACCTGAACTATTAACAAAAATATATCTTATTTGTGTATCACTCGGCTGTAGTTCCTCAAATCATCTGTTTCCATGGTAACACTGTCGTATCTGGAGGATGGCAACTTTTGTTTCCCATGGCTCCTGTGTGTGTTGTAAAATAGTCACCGCTCCAAGCTTGCTTCAGTGATAGACTACAATCTCAAAACAAATTAGTAAACTAAACATGAGATTGTAGTCCTTCACAGGAGTGAGCTTGGAGCAGTGGCTACTTTACAACACACACAGGGACCATGGGCAACAAAAGTAG